AGTCTGTAAATATTACCCAGAGGGTCCATGTACCCAAAATTTAGGTACTTGGGATTTGGGTAATAGTAATCATGGTACAGGTTCTGGGTAAGTATATGATTATTAGGTACTTGGACCCTTAGGGTTACCTACATTGGGCTATTTCGATCCAAGGTATAACAGCTCTAGAACCCGAGAATCCAAATCCAAGGGAAGGCTCAAGGCTCGAATCCCAAAGCTTTCGCGGCTGCAGGACCTTGGGGTGGCGAATTTCTTGCCCTTTTTTGTTTCCTCATGACTGAAACAAGTAGGGTGCACGCAGATTTTGGACTCTAGAATCTGGAGGGTACAGAAGGGACCGCTTAGAACCTTGGCAGGTTGAATATTTGAGACACGTCCACCTGTACTCCTCCTCTGACCGCGCTGCGAACTCCTCGGGTGGATGTGTTTGGGCCGGAGGCTCAGGTGCGGAATTCAGGGGAATGCATGGAGCCAAAATGCGAAGACCTGAGGTTGAATGGGCATCACTCTTTAATGGGGACTACGCGCGTATGAGATATTGCTACAGTACGTTGCCTTGCAGTGCGCCGTAGCGGTTGTGCCAGCTCACTTTGGGTAGAATGTAGCGAGCACGTTGGTTCGAGAGATGGAGGTCGTGTGGGTCTGCTGTTTTGCACTTTGGTGGTATGATCTGCCCACCATTTCAACGAGGCCATATTATATTGGCCATCATCCTTGCTGCCCTAAACCCTATAAAACCCTAAATCATAAACCCCTTAACCCCTAAATCCCAGAAGCCCAGACCCCTAAACGCTACGCCCCCAAACCCATATACCCCTACAGTAACTTTAGTTAAGTTCCTTAACCCTAAACCCTATGATATGACCATACCATAACTTTAGTACGTGAAACAGTCTTCAACCACTGCCAAGGCGCAGCTGCCCAGGCATCTCCTGGGTTGCTGTTAAGGAACTTAACTAAAGTTACGATATGGGTTTTAGGGTTTTGGGTTTAGGGGTTTAGGGCTTGGGGTTTAGGGTTTAGGGGGTTGCTGTTAAGGAACTTGATTAAAGTTACGGTAGGGCTATATCATAGGGTTTAGGGTTAAGGAACTTAATTAAAGTTACCGTAGGGGTATATCATAGGGTTTAGGGTTAAGGAACTTAATTAAAGTTACCATGGGGGTATATCATAGGGTTTAGGGTTAAGGGTTAAGGAACTTAACTGAAGTTACTATAATACGGGTCTATAGGGGGGTGATTATATAGGCATACATAGGTAATATATGAGGTTTAGGTTTTAGGGGGTTAGGAACTAAATTCGAGTTACTATATTGGGGAAACCCAACTATTTACTATGTATACCCATTGTGGCAATCTAGTTTAAATTACTTAGCAGCAGCCCAGTCTCCCTTCAGAACGGCCATGCAAATGGCACAGAAAGTTGAGAGCATCATTGGCTGATCGGCCTCGCGCTGTTCGAGAAATCCGGCCCACAGCATTGCCGCCTGAGCTTCAGACACCTTCTCCCCGCATGCGCCTCTGATTGCCTGGAGAAAGGCTGACTTCTCCAAACCACCTTTGCCTGCAGCCTTCTGAAACTCCATGGCCCACTCCCTGCGTTGGCCAGATGCCACCCCGACAGCTGCCGATTGCTTCCTCCAACCTTCCAATCGCCGGAGCCTTCGGAAGGCCCGCTGCAAAGTGATGGCGCTCTTCTCCATCTGTGCGATTCGTCGTCTAACTTGCCTGCCACGAGCCAACGCATGCAACTTGGTGGCCACTGTGGCCGCTGCGTTCCGAAGCAACCAGAGCCCTTCAGTCGCGGTGCACTCAGATGAATCGATCAAAGCTTTGCGGTGATGATGTGCGCTGAGATTGCGGACGAAGCAGGTTGCGTCGTGGTTCTCGTGCAGTGCTGGCACCTGCGAGAAAAAACTTCCCGTTCAGTACTGCCAATCATCATGCTGATGTGGGGCCCTGCAGTACGCCTTAGCATTTTCCATTAATCACCAGACCTGTACCTCATGCATCCCGACTAGTAAGAAAAGCTCGTGGCTGAGTGTCTGCACGCAACTTGTGCTTCAAGTTGTGCACGGAGATCGGCGGCCTAGATGTTCCTGATTAATGACTCACGTTGTACCATGTTATACAGGCTGAAGAGGCTTCTAAACAAAAACAATCATTCAGGGGAGAGAGAGAGAGAGAGAGAGGGAGAAAGAGAAGAGGTATAGCGATGCATATTTGCATTTTCGGAGTGGGGGGAAAGAGAAAGAGAGATGGAGAAAGAGGAAGAGGTATAGAGATGCATATTTGCATTTTCATATTGGGGAGGGATCCAAAACTTAGGTTACCATTTTGGGGCCCATGCAATCAGGATGCATAATAGTTTTGGGGGAGCATTTAGGATCCGTAGGTTGAGGAAAACACTTAAAAGCTGCGCCACGTGCGTGTTCGGGCTGCAGTCGGGGGAGTGGATTGAGCCTCAGAATGATGGTGTATGGCATTCTGGAAAAGGGCTCTAGACAGAATTATAGAAGAGATCTGCAATGAGATGCCAAGCTTCACGTTAATGGATGGAACTAACGTAAGTAAGTATACCAAGCGTATATGAGGAATGAGAGATAGAGCGAGAGAGAGAGAGAGAGATAGCCAGCAATCACTGCTCATCCTGGGTAACAGACCCCTCGCGTGAAATTGTTTCAAAAGGGTGCGCCAAGGGGCCTGGAGTCCTGAACATTGTTAGGTTTGCGTCGTTAGTCTTGTCCTGGCTTGAGTACATACCACGTGATGTCATCCTTCATGATTGTTTGCGTTGCTGCTTAACATGTTTGTAACCATGTTCGTGTTTGTGAACACGCCTCCGTTTATCAACATGCCTTGGCTTATGAATGTTTTTTTTCTCAACGCAGGCTCGGTTTCTCAATTGTTCTATGGCATATGGCGATATGATGAGATGCTGGAAGTACTCATGGAGGGAGTGTGGTGGAGTGGAGTGGATGGAAGAGGAGGGGGGAGACGACGTGGATCATGTTGGGAGGAGCTACCTCGGGCCACCGTCTTCGCCTCCTCGCGCACATCTACTTTAAATGTGAGAATGGAGGCGTACGTTTCTGTCTCTGCTGCGAGAGCTATAGATTGCTCTCATAGGTCTGGAGTGCTCTAGAAGACACCGTAAACAGCAATGAAATTGTTTCGCCAGTACACATAGGTTTCACATCATCAAATACTAGCTTCAACTTCGGAACTTCTGGGCATGCTCGTGTGAATGAATAATTTACTCAGAATGAGCAGCCAGGAATGTATATCATTAGTTGGCCTTCCCGCATGAGTAAGCCCATGGCCTAGTGCTGTAAATCCAATTTTCCCAAGCCGTGTGGGCCTTCAGCTAGCAACTAGCCCTTTTCATGTTCAAGCGTCTTCGCCTAGGAACTTGGTTTCCTGCAGTATTTCTTTCATGTTTCTCTAAAAACATGTTTTTGTAGCTGTGAAAGGTTCCAATCAGTAAAACTAAGCGATGGGGCTTCCTAGCTTTCCGGTAGAAAGATGGGAAAGATGGAGCCACTCTAACAAGGCAGTTTAGGCTCGCGCTGAACAAGTAAGAGGGCAAGCTGGCTGCAGAGCGAAAGTGCTCGATAGTGTTCATGAGAATTTTGCAAAGTCTTCTGACGGGTTTTACAATGCAAGGACATGTTACGAAATGGTTAATAGATGAAAGGAATTCATACTACAGAAGGAGAGCTGTTCTATTCTTAGCCACCTAACCCTAAACCCTAAACCTGAGACCCTAAAGCCTATACCTTACATGCGGGAGAGTTCATCCTGATTGTAAGAGAAGCAACAGAGCTCCTCAACCAATTACTAGGAGTACCTTTTTGGGGACCCTGCTACACTAAGGAGTATAATGCCTTTGGTTGATAGTTGGGGTCTCCATGTGTCGGAAAATTACTACATAGCTCCTTTCCTATTTAAAGAGAACCGAAAAGCCCGTCATGCTCTTTCTAAGAAACAGCAAAGCTCCCCTGGCTTTTCCCCGTATGAACATATTGGATTTTTGAACTTTGCAAACTTTGCGTATCACGTCGGCTTGAGTAGGTTCTTCAGCATGTCTGGGCGTCTGCGTTGAGCACTGTAGATAAGATTCGCTTACAGCAGATGTCAAGTACAAGATGCTGACCACTACTACTCTGTGTGAATTCTGTGATGAGTTTTCCAAAGGATATAATACACACATATGTATACATTCAAGGGTCATATCTTAGATATTGATATATGGACGACCAAAACCTTAAACGATGGCATGAAAATCTACATTTAGCGAATTCATCGGTATTTTGCGGCTCTTCCTAAGGCGTCGAATAAGCAAAGACATGCATATGGATGATGGACGAAGCAGTGAAATTGAAGTCCAGACCTCCTGATAGGCTTTAACATTGCACCTATTTTTTTGCGCGTCCTGGCCTTGAACAAAATTATCTGATAATGATGCAATGTGTAACGCAGTGTTGGCTTGGTTGTAGGATTCCTGCATATGCATTCCAATGTGACCCAAAAAATCCACAGAGTTCGTGTCGAATTACTGTGAATGACCATACAAAAAACGTGGGAGTGAGTGGGAATGATAGAGGTTATGCTTTCACTCGGAATGATAGCACGAAGACAGTCATAATCGTGAGTACGAGTAAGAATGGTAACTAGATTAATCTCCAAACCATAACAATACTGGGTAGCATAATGATTAAAGTAAAAATGGTATTGATGACACTGATGTTAATAACACTAGTCGTGATAATAATAAGAACTGTAGTAATTGCAATAACAATGGTGGTGCTGGAAATAAAACGGTAATAGCAACAATTCTAATACTAGTATTTAAGTTGAGTGACAATAGTAACAATAATAGCAATGATGATGGTAACAATAACAACAGCGATAAACATAGTAAGCACAATGAAAATGGGTAACAATAATAGCAGTCAGCGTATCAGCATAATGAGCATGGTAGTAATGGTGGTAAGATGCTTAACATGACATGTAGAATAATACAAAAAAAGGACATGCAAATGCGAGAAGCGAAAGAACAAAGAATGCAACAACATCCAACAGGAATCGTAAAGCTCTAATGATACTGATAGGGGTCTTGCAGGTCCTGCTGGGCTGCACGACTTAAAAAGATGGGAGGATGGGTGGGGAGAGGCTTCCCCTATTTGCAAACACAAAGCAGGTCTTGAAAAATTGAAAGCATGAATAATGTGGGTCTTGTAGGAATTCCTGCACAGTTGCACCACGAAAAATGCGGGGCAGATGGGGGCGGGGGGGAGCCAAAGGTGCAAGCCCAAGGCCAGGGTGAAACATAAAGGGAACAAATAACAAACCAATGGAAGAAAACATGAGCCCTCCTTTAAAAACCTCTATACCGCCCTATGTAATCCTTTTAAGGAATTTCCACTTTAGCTCATATGGCTAGCCATATGAGGTCTTCAAAAACGCTGACCCAATGGCACACAGCACTGAAACCTTTATGCTGAAGCCTAAACTTACTGCTTCTTAGTAGGGAATAAGGGATTAGAATCCCTAAAGAACCCTATATGCTACATTCGCGTATTCCCTACGAACCCTAAACATTATAACTGTATAACATGCTCCCATATGCTCCCATATTCCCTACTAAGAACCTGTATGTACAGCATATCTTCAGGAATAAGCTTGAAGCTTGAGCATCTGAAGGCTAATCAAACCCTAAACCCTACATAGTAGTCTCCGTTTTCTGTTCCATCATGCCAATGTATTTCCTATATACCCCCTATGGCAGGGGAGGCGGGTTGCCAGTTGGAGATGAACAGTCCTGCTGGCTTCGAGCTGACGAACCTTCTGAGTGCTGAGAAACCAGTAGAAAACCCAAGTTCCCAAACCTACAAACGAATTTGAATGAGAAGCCTGCGCCTCGGGCTCAGCGATGGGAATCAAGCGACTGCAGTCTCTGTATTCCTCCTCTGCAAGTCCGGCAAACTCCGCTGCCCAGACATCTCCCTTCAGAACAGCCTCGCAAATGGCCCAGAAAGTTGAGAGCAACATGAGCTCACCCGCCTCATGTTGCTCCAGGAAGCCAGCCCACAGCATTGCCGCCTGAGCTTCAGACGCCTTGTCCCCGCATGCACCTCTGAGGGCCTGAAGAAAGCCCGATCTTTTCAAACCACCTGCGTCTGCAGCCTTCTGAAACTCCATGGCCCACTCCCTGCGTTGGCCAGATGCCACCCCGACAGCTGCTGAGTGCTTCCTCCAACCTTGCGAGCCACGGAGCCTTCGGAAGGCCCTCTGCAGAGAGATAGCACTCTTCTCCATTCGCGCTCTTCTTTGCCTCACTTGCCTGCCGCGGACCCATGCCTGCAGCTTCGTGGTTGCTTCCATCCTGCGCTCCTCTGCTGTCGCCAGCTCCGTTGCATCCTCGCAGAGCGTCCCAAGGGATGCCCTGTTGCTGTCTGCTTCTGCTGGCGCAGCGAGCTGGGATGCCTCTGCTAGGGCAGCTGCACGACGCTGGCCCTTGCTTAGCAACTGGTCAACTACGAAGCGCGTGATGGCGTCATCCTCTCGTGCTAGCACCTGCATTGAGAACAGCACGTTTATAGCTGGCCTCTCCTACATGTTTTCTACCGTTGAAAACTCATTTAGTGCAACAGCACCCGCACAGCACTTAACCCAAACGGCGAAATAGTTTCAGGGTCCGGGCCAGAACAAGAGGTAACTACTATTGGGATCCAACACCCTCTCAGCAGCCTGCCCGAAGGAAAGCAACTGAGCATATAAACCAGCCCTTCCCGTTAACTCAAATACCATGTAGCTACACCGTCCGCGGAAAATGTTTGTCCTAGTGGCCGCGTACAGGAAAGCAAGGTAGAAGGCTGTAGCCAAAGAAGCCTGACTCAAACTACTTTGACAGGCCAGGCAATCAAAAAAAAGAGCCCATAAGGGGATGCTTCTCCCTGTAGTACCCTTGCCCCTATACTTGGACTGGTTTAAAACTATTACTTCATGATGAATTGGAGGACAACCGTGATTAGGGACCAGGAGAAGGAATTCGGGATTTCCTTGTTTTCCCAAGAAACTCAAAGATTCTGGTTCATGCACAAAAGACCTCATGAAGAAACACCAAGGAAGACTACTCAGATCTAAATATGTCCTAGAACTCATTTTTTTAAACGAGACGGTAATCCAAAGGCACCTCGACTTGAAATAGGGAATCCTTTTCTAGGACATCATTGTTTGCACAATGCAAAATTGATTTCCCCCCTCCCTCTCCCGGATGTGTATTACGCGAAAAAAGTGGAAAAAACTTCTGGGCAAGGAAATAGAGCTACAAGTGGGGAGGAGATGGGGAAGTGTTGTGTTCTCAGGGGTCCATAA